AAAGGAGCCGGCCCCTAGGATGGGGGGTTTGGCACTCTGCACATGCTCCAGGAGGCAGAAGCTGCATTGGGAGGGGGGGAAACCCCCCAAAATTAGTTATTTTCTCTCCTATCTTCCCAGATTGGCTGGATTTTTATTTTTTTTTGCAAGTTCCTTAACTTTCCCCCCCCCTCCCAAAAAAACCCACTTTTCCTTTGGGGTAGATGGGTGGGGGGGGAGGAAGATCAGCCCCTCCTCCTCCTCCCCAACATCCCCCAAAGTTTTCGGAAGGAGGGGGAAAAAAGAAGAAACTGAAGGAGAAAATGGGAAGAAGGGAGGAATACTCACGGCAAAAAGAGGAGGAGGAGGAGATGTCAGCAGACGGCTGGAGCAGGGAAAGTGGGAGAAACACCCAGGGGAGAGGCCAGATTTATCAGGAGGGGAGGGGCCTGGCCTGGTCAAACCCGGCCCCCCAAGAGACGTCCGATTGGGTGGAAAGGAAGGAGCCCCTCCCCCTAGCTTTGCATATCGGACAGCCCACCTTCAATTTGCGGCTATTAAATCCGATGCAAGTTGAAACCACTCCCTGCCCTTTTGTCTCCCTTTTATTCAAAGCAGGTGGATTGAGTTTTATCCTGAGGGCTAGAAACTTGATCTCTTCCTTTGCTTCGTTTTTTTCCTCCCTGCCTCCCCTTTCTCTTTCTTTCTTTTTCTCTCTCTTTCTCTTTTTCTCCCTACCTCCTTTCTTTCCCTCCTTTCTTTCTCTCTCTTTTTCTCCCTACCTCCTTTCTTTCTTTCTTTCTTTCTTTCTTTCTTTCTTTCTTTCTTTCTTTCTTTCTCCCTTTCTGTTTCTTTCCCTTTCTTTCTTTCTTTCTTTCTCTCTTTCTCTCTTTCTCCCTACCTCCTTTCTTTCTTTATTTCTCTTTCCCTCTCTCTCCCTACCTCCTTTCTTTTCTCTTTCTCTCCCTCCCTCCTTTTTCTTTCTTTCTCTCCTTCTCCATACCCCCTTTCTGTCTCTCTCTCCTTTTTCTTTCTTTTTTCTTTTTCTTTCTTCCTTCCTCTTCCCCTCCCTCTTTTCTTTCTTTCTTTCTCTCTCTCTTTCTTTTTCTCCCTCTCCTTTTTTCTTTATTTCTCTCTCCCTCTCTCTCCCTCCTTTCTTTTCTCTTTCTCTCCCTCCCTCCTTTTTTCTTACTTTCTCTCCTCCATACCTCCTTTCTTTCTCTCCCTCCTTTTTCTTTCTTTTTTCTTTTTCTTTCTCCCTTCCTTCTCCCCTCCCTCTCTCCTTTCTTTCTTTTTTTCTTTCTTTCTCTCTCTTCTCTCTCTCCTTCCCTCTCTCTTTTTCTCTTCCTCCCTTTCCCCCTCCCTCTTTTTTCTTTCTTTCTCCCTCCTTCCTTCCTTCTCTCTTTCTTTCCCCCTCCCTTCCCCCCTCTCTCCCTCCCTACCTCTCTTTCTTTCTCAGTTTTTTCTCTCTCTCTTTCCGAATCGTAATTCCACTCCCAACGACTGAGAAAATGAGATTGTACACATTGGCCTGTTGCTGTTTTTTTAAATGGACGAATAGGCACGGAATAAATCAATATTCCTATTTCTTTGGCAAAGTTTTCCTGTAATTATCTGGATAAAAGGGGAATTTGTGCTTGTCTTCTTGTTGTCGGTGCACATTTCCCCCCCCCCCTACCGACCTTGGGGCAAGACTCACACAACACAAAAATGTGAAGCTGCAACCTTCTCATCTCATCTCCCTTGTGGGAGTCGGCGCGGCGGGTGGGGGGGAGAAGTTGCACAAACTTGAACGTCCTGATTTTTCACACCCGCTTCCTGCTGTGGGTGGCCAGAAGGGATTTTTGCAGAAATACAATCCTGTTCACAACCCAACCCAAGAGTGCGTGGTTGCGTTGTCAGGCTATAAGCCCTTTCGAGATGGAAAAAAGGGATTTTAACATATTTTTAATTACCTTCCTGGAGGGAACTGAACTGAATCTGGTATCTCTCCTTCCACTTTGCAAGCCTGAGCTTGTGAATCTGGGTTTGCGTTTCTGGATTGCCCACGATTGCGGTGGGAGAAATATTTTTTTTTCCCCCATCGCCCAGAAATTTAATCTAATTTCTTTCCTTTTACTCTCAAGGCAGGGGTGAAAATGCTACCAGTTTGTTCAGGTTTGTTGAACCGGTAGTTAAAAAAATAAAAAAGCTTCCCACCTGTGATTGTCAAAAGCTTTTTTTCCGTTTTTTAAAGCATTTTTTTTCCTGCCTATTTGCCCGAACTGGTAGTAAAAAAATACTTTAAAAAGTGGAGAGAAAAAAATTAGTTTAGCCGTGCGATTGTGGGAATCTTTTACCAACTTTTTAAAGATTTTTTCCCCTACCTATCCACCGGAATCGGTAGTTAAAAAACGCTTTAAAAAGTGGGGGGGAAAGGTTCCCACGATCGCACGACACAGAATACATAGTAAAAAATACTTTAAAAATTTAAAAAGTTGCCCACGCCCACCCAGCCACATGACACCCTTCCCACCAAGCCACGCCCACCAAGCCACGCCCAGAGAACCGGTGGCAAAAGTTTTTACATGTCACCCAAAAACAGACGGTTAAGACGACCGCAATTTCTTTTGCCCCGTTCCTCCCCGCCGTCCCCTTTATTTCATTTTTCTCAAACCTTGGGAAGATCGTTTTATTAATTTAGATATCGAGATATATTATGGAGAGATGCTTAAAGGAGGACTTAAGAGAAGGGAGAGGGGGTCTTTCCTTCTCTCCCACCCACCCCCCTTTTTAAGGACGCTTCTCATTTGGCATCTTGTTGGAAGAATTCGTTGTAGGACATGCAAAGGGCCGTGAGAAATCCGGTGTATTCCTTGAAATCGATCTCATCGTCGTGGTTCTTGTCCAAGCTTTCCATCAGCTTGTCGATCCCACGGTCCTTCATTTTCTGCAACGGGGGAAAGGGAAAGGTTCTGGGTTCGAGATTCGCCGTAACATTTACCCATCTCCGACTACGGTTGTTGCGGCGAGTTCCGGAGTTTTGTTATCCGGCTTTGTTTGCTTCGGGGCTGGAATTCCTCCCCCCCCCCTGGCATTTATGTTTCAAATATGCCCAGTTTAGCGTCGCCCGGTAAGCGAGGGGCGTGTTTCCCCCCCCCCCCCGATCACTTACCTCTCCCAAACCCAGCTCTTGTTTTACCAATTCCTTCAATTCTTGTCTGCTCAAAGTCAGTTTGTCGCCTTCTCTGCCCGAATATTTGTGAAAGGTGCACACCAGAGTGGCCAAGGCTTTCTCCAGAGGGGTCTCCATGGGTCAGGGGGGCAGGGACTGTCTGGAAGAGGAAAAATGAGGGAGAGGGTCCATCAATCACACATGGACATACAGGAAGGGGGTCACTCTCTGATTTTACTCTCTCGAGTATTATTTCTGCTCCTGCATTTAAATTCTGGTCTTTGCAATAACTGTCATTTTTATACTCCGCTTCCTCTACTTCAACATTTCTTGGTTTTAGCGACTAAGAGACGCGGACTACAACTCCCAGAATCTCCCTGGCTGGGAAACGCTTCCCCTCCCCCCAGCTGGGGAATTCTGGGAGTTGAAGTCCACCTATCTTCAAAGTTTCCAACCTGTTTTTTATATTCCAACTTTTCTCTCCTCCTTTAGCAACTTTTAAGATACGTGGAGGGACGCGGCGGCTCAGGGGCTAAGACGCCGAGCTTGTCGGTCAGAAAAGGTCGGCAGTTCGGCGGTTCGAATCCCCAGCGCCGCGTAACGGAGGGAGCTCCCGTGACTAGTCCCAGCTTCTGCCAACCTAGCAGTTCGAAAGCAGGTAAAAAATGCGAGTAGAAAAATAGGGACCACCTTTGGTGGGAAGGGAACAGCGTTCCGTTGCGTCTTTGGCGTTGAGTCATGCCGGCCACATGACCACGGAGACGTCTTCGGACAGCGCTGGCTCTTCGGCTTTGAAACGGAGATGAGCAGCGCCCCCTAGAGTCGGGAACGACTATCACATACGTGCGAAGGGAACCGTTATCTTTACTTGCTCATTTCTTCATTTTAGCGACTTTTAAGCTACGTGGACTTCAACTCCCAGAATTCCTCTGGATGAGAAATATTTCCCGCTAGCTAGGGAATTCTGGGAGCTGAAATCCACATATCTTAAAAGTTTCCAAGTTTGAGAATCACTAGCTTTAAAAAAAAAAAAGCCAGTTTTTCTGTTGGTTCTGTTGATAATTGTTGCCTGATGTAAGCTAATTTTTTTTAAGGTGCTTCCCTTTAAATTCTTTTATTTGGAATTTGTCCGATTAAAAATCTTAACTTTGGTGTTTTTTTCAATCTTTAACCTTAAGTCTGAATTTTTGGTTTTAGAGAGAAGGGGTGTGCGTTCTTTAGAGGCTCTGCGTTGGCTGCCTATTTTTTCCCCAATATGTGCTGATTTCTGATTGACCAAACCTGTGGATTCTGTTATCCATCGATTAAATTTATAACCCTTTGTCCGTTGATTTAAATTCGTAGCCCTTTATCCGTAGTTAAATTTATAGCAATTTCTCCGTCGATTAAATGTATAGATATCATGCTATCAAGCGATTCTGCTTTGAAATGAAATTCTCTCTTTAAATAGTTGATTAATGATTGATTAAATATTTCTTTAAATGTTTCTTCGTATATGTATGTATGTATTGGTATATGAATAAGTATGTGTGTATATTATATGTATGTATGTATGTATGTATGTGTGTGTGTGTGTATGTATGTATTTATGTATATATGTATTTCTTTAAACCCCCAGAATCACCCTGGAGAGTAGACTTAAAAGGCTAAAAAGAGACTCAGGAGCTTGAAACGGAGAGCTCGCGCAAGAGAGCCAAGTTGCATTTTTATTTCATTTTTTGCAAAATCACGCTGGATTTGGTGTGGCCATCTTTCCACTCAGGTGGGTAAGCGTTTCGCTTAATGTTCTGACTTTCCCCATCGCCCGGGGGGGGGGGGGGGGGTTTTTTCCGGCCGGGGGGGGGGGGGGGGGGGGGGGGGG